TTAAATATCATTTACTTCATGGACTAAACTTAAAATTTATTTCAATTCATTTACAAAATGGTAAACAAAACTATACAAGTAGCAAAATTTATTTAATAAGATTAATAATAATGAAATTATACGATGTTTTTATAGTATCAAAATATGTATTAACTTATTTCCATTAATATTATGTTGTTTTTAAAAAAAAATTATATTTTAATTTTTGATCCACAACTGTGAAAGTCTGGATCCGCCCCTTTAATTGGTTGGTGTTTTGCGTTTACAAAAGAAGAGTAATGACAAATATTGAAAAAGAAACAAGCTTATCCTCTTCACAAAGAAAATAAATAAAATCAAGAAGGTGCATCAAATGTATCTTGTCCATATCTAGTTTGCACCGCTCTATTTACAGGATACAGTACGTTGAACTCTGAACTCGACACTATTGAAAAAGAAAGACATGTAATTATTTACGTAATATTCTCTTTACTTCAATGTTTCAAACGGAACGATGACGTAAGTCGAATAGGAAAATGAAAAAAAATCCAAAATGGGAATATAAAATTGTGGGGTTGACGATTTAGTGGTTGACAACTCACTTTCAGTAGAGAGGGAAAGGGCAAAACACTGATGTCAAGCATAGAAGGGCACATGGAGATTCAGTATTTTTGAGCATCAAACACACGAAATAATTGAAAATTGCGCAGGAGAGCAGGAGCCAAGAACATGGATCCACCTATTCCAATGGGGAACCCCAACTAATAAAGTCATGTGATACAGCGATCCTACCTTGTTTTCAGCCTCTATTAAATTTACAGACGTGGGTCCCCCTGCCCCCACTACCACCTAAATTTAATGGTTAAAGGATCCTACTTTTTTGTCTTTATAATCAGTGATGAATCCAAGAATTTACTTGAGCTAAGGCGGACGTTTGAATGATCATTAGGGTGAAAATAAAAAATAAAAAAATCGATGAATCCAGACGCTGGTAGCCGTCATGGCTCGTCGATGCTGACTTCACCACTGCTTTTAATGTTTTAGATACAAACTATACATGCAAATTCGCATCTTGTAATGAATTATGTTATCTTTCTTTTAAATAGTAATCCGTACAACTCCTTTCTCCTCGAATCAAGAAAAGAGAAAGGAAAATTATAAGTTCTTTTCGTTTTTCTCCAACATTTTATCTCCTAATGATCGATGAATTAGACTAACCACATACTTTGTTCACCATCAAATCATTAACCAATTGATTAGTACTAGGGATACTTATTGTAATTGCTTGGCATGGGGGTGGGTGGGGTTCTTACCAAACTTGTTGAAATTTTGATCTTAACCCACGTGAAGAAAATTACTTTCATAAAGTTTGCTGTTAAGTACTAGATTCTCAAGCTAAAGAAAAACATTATTAACATGAAAGTGAAAACTAAAAATTTCAAAACTTATTTGAAACGACTGTACTTCAGATGGAGTTGATAAAAATTAATCAAAATAGATATAGATTAGGTGCGTTTGTTTTTCTATGAACGAGAATGAAAAATATAGTCGTTATGGACCCCACAAAAGAGATAGAAATTCAAATTTGGTGGCTTGATATTATGGATAACGATCATATTTTTCATTTTAATGAGAAAAGAATGAGAAACAAATATGTGGTAAATTTTTTAGTTGGTTAAATCCCCTAATGCCCACCCAACTTTATACTTAACTTCCATTTGGTTCTAATTTTTCAAGCAAAAAAATCAATTTTTTTATCGTTACTTAATATGGTCAGCCGTCATTTTTGACTTATTTATTAACAGGTGAGACCCACTTTTCTCTCTAACGGTCAAAAAATTGATTCTGAGAATCAATATCAAATAGGCTTTTAGTGTCATCATGATTACCCAATTTGATTTTGTTTCACCATAACCATCCAACTTTATACTTAGTATGATAGTATTGCCATAATCACCTAATTTTATTTTATTTTACTGTGGCTTCCCAATTTCATATGATGTTTCATCATGGCCTCCCAATTTCATATAACGTTTCATCATAGTCACCCAACTTCATTTCATCATTTTTGCTAATTTTAGTAAGGGTAAAACAGTAACTTTGCATTATATATAAAAAATAAATTTTAATTATTTAAAAAAACATGTTCCTGAAAAAATAAAATAAAATTTAAGCTTATTTTAAAAAAAATTATTTCTTAAAATTTTAAAAGAATGTTACTTCGAAAAATAAAATAAAATAAAATAAAAACTTATTAGAAAAAAAATTTTAAACTTAAAATTTTTTTAATTTATTTTATATATATAATGCGAAGTTATTGTTTTATCCCTTCTAAAATTAGTGAAAATGATGAAAAAAATTGAATGACGATAGTGAAACGTTAGATGAAATTGGATGGTTATAATGAAACATCAAATGAAATTGGATAGTTATGGTGAAATAAAATTAAAATAGGTGGCCATAGTAACACTAAGTATAAAATTGGATGACTATGATGAAATAAAATCAAATTGAATAGCCATGTTGATACTAAATATAAAGTTGATGGTCATTATGAAATTTAATCATTTTTTAGCATGTAATGTACCAAACATTCTCAAGTCCAAGTTTGATTTAAATAAAAATTAGATTCTTAGTAGATTTTGATATAAGTCGATAGATTGTGTTGCTGAAAAGTTGGGATCATATTAAATGTATAGTTAAAATTTATTGTTAGTTTTAACTTAAATTTTAATCAAATTTTTTTCCTCAACTGAATCAAACATGGACTGGATTTCGTGCATAATTCTCTAATCATGCATTGTACAACTAGTTTGTATAAAGTCATTATCATATATAGTATCTTGTGACGTGCCAGTCGTAATGATCATAAATTGTATCTACTGTCGTGCCACTCACGCTCATTCTTTCCTTCAAACAATCATTTTCGTTTTTGAAATACATCGTTCTTATATTTTAGGTTACTTATTAAAAAGAGTAATGCTATTTAATCCAAATTTGTGTAGTGTTTGGTGATAAGCTAAATAAAAGGTGAAAAATATTATTCATTTAATTGTACTTATTATTTCTTGACTCATTAACGCTATATAGATGGAGATTATAACCTCACTAACTAAATAAAATTACTTTATTAAAAATCATAATTGAAAGGAGGAAGAAAAGGACAGTTGAAGGGTGGGGGAGAATAGACCAGCTTATAGGATTATGAAATAGAGTGTTTGAACATTTTTTGCCTTCTCTCTCTCAATCAATAAGCCAAATGCTTGGTGAGAGGATAATGAGACGGAAAGGGCTTAACCCTGCTGCACGATGCCTGTTGGTGGTTCAGGTGGCAGCCCCTGCCCCCGCCATCGGACCCACCCCTCGTCTCATTTTGAATGCCATCTTACACGTATGTACCAAAATTATCGCTCATCCACGGCATGTTTGATGTAATGTTTTGAAGGTCGATCCAACCTTCAACTCAAGAAAAGTAATAGTCGAATTGAGATCAAAGCATGCTTAAATCAATACTTGGAAGTAATTTTACATTGCCTAAACATTGCTAGTATTATACCTCTTCGAGCATTCTATCAACCAATATAGTTAAAAATAAAAAATAAGTAAGTAGTGAACCAATGACGAACCTAAACAATATTATAGGTACTTAAAGAAAACGAGCAAGACTCCATGATAGTTTCATTTTTGAGTCCATGTTACTCATATCTATCACTCATTAAGTATCCTATGAGAGAGACCCATTATAATTAAATGAAAAAATTGCAATAGTTGTCCTTAACCTTTTCAATTTTTGCATACTTTACTTTAAACTTCAATTTGTACAAGAGAAAGTCTCTAACTTTTAAAAAAATGTGCATTTAAAATCCAAATGGATGGAATCCATCCACTTTTCTATTAGTTAATCAAGAAAATGATTTAGATCACATTATGAATTATTTCCATAAAGTTAGAATGGTAACTTTATCTCTTTCCAAAACCTAACCCTGGCTCCCCATTGCTGCTCATCATCGTCGAATCCACAACCTCCGCCAACTCTCCTTCCCTTTTCTTCACTACCAAATGGAACCCAAATGAGAAATCAAAATCAAAATCAAAATTGAAGCCACTACCACCTCACCTCAAAATCGAAGCCATCACCACCTCTAATTGCAACGACAGTCTACTCTCGTCTGCTTATGAAAATAATTCAAGTTCTGACCATCCACCATTCTCAAGTTCAATTTGCGGATACCATTTCGCTATAAATGGCAAGGGATTTCTTCTCTAATTTTCAAAATTTTTCGATTTTTGTGCGACAATTAAGCACTAGAGCTTGGAGAAACTGCAGCAACATGAACACTTATCGGCTTGGTGATGGTGGTTTCGCCGCCTGAACTTATTTAGTTTTTGATTTATGATGATTCATTGAGCTGAAGTGGTGGCGACGGCGGCGACGAGCGGTGATGGGCGACGAGGAGTAGAGTGATTATAGTTCTGGGTAGGGGTGGGGTTTGGAGTAGGAATGGAAGAAGATGATTTTTTATTTAATTATTTTTACATGGAAAGAGATAAAGTTGTAATTTTACCCTTATAGAAATAATTAATAATATTGTCAAAATCATTTTCTTGGTCAATTAACGAAAAAATGGATGGATTCCATCCATTTGGATTTCAAATGCATATTTCTAAAAGGTTGGAAACCATCATTGGTACGTAAAAATTGAAAAGATTAGGGACCATAGCTGCAAAATTTCCTAATTAAATCCACCTTTAGAAATAAAAGTTAGTAATAAAAAATTAATTATTATTTGTTTCCTTTAAGTCACCCCCTTCTCCAGTTAAAATCATATAATGTGAACTCATTTTCTCCCTCTTAGCAAAGGAATCAAACTGTACAAATTTGTAGACTAAATTCATTATTGACAACTGTCAATATAGAAAAAATGTTGCCAACTTCACACTATAAAATAACTTACAAGTTGAATTTAGCTAATTATAAAAAAGTACTTAAATGTAATATAATATAATATAATATAATATAAAACCCTACTTCTCATGAAGAAAAATGGCATCTCTTTCTCTTCTCCCTCCTTTCTCACTCTCTCACACACACAGAGTACATAAAGCTGATAAGGTATATAAGCTGTCCATTTGAGCAATAAATGCATCTTCTTCAAACTGAAATTGCATGCGTGAGCCTATAAATACAGTCCCTTCGGATGTAATTTCTTTCTCTCTCTCTAGAAGACATGATTGCTGGATCACCGTCGCAGATGGCGTTCAAACTGGTGGCGTAAGTGGTGGTTGGTAATGACTACCACCGGAATGGCGTTCTACTCCACCAATTTCATGCTGCAAACTCCTCCTGAATTAGATAATGACCACCAACCCTCCACCTCTCTCGCTCCAATTCCTCCCTCTTGCCCTCCTCAACACTTCCATGGTATACTTCAATTTTTTCTTTCTTTCATTGCTAATGTATAAGGTCGATTTAACAGTACTACACAGTATTAAGAAAATACATAAAAATGTTAAAAGTCTTGTTAGTTAGGCTGTTCAATCCTTTCCCGTTTGCTGACTTACCCTAAATGTTCTTGTGTTTAAATCTTTGACAAATTTTTATTCCGTAGGTATGACTCCATTTCTAGGCAAGAGATCATCCATGTCGTTTTCCGGGGTCGATGTTTGCGAAGAAAATCATGGTGGAGAGGATGATTTATCGGATGACGGATCACAAATGGGAGAGAAGAAGAGGAGACTTAACATGGAGCAAGTGAAGACACTTGAGAAGAACTTTGAGTTGGGGAACAAGCTTCAGCCCGAGAGAAAAATGCAGTTGGCTCGAGCTCTAGGCCTACAACCAAGACAAATTGCAATTTGGTTCCAAAACAGAAGGGCAAGATGGAAAACTAAGCAATTGGAGAAAGATTATGAAATTCTTAAGAGACAGTTTGAAGCCGTGAAAGCAGAAAATGATGCTCTACAAGCTGAAAACCAGAAACTCCAGTCAGAGGTATGTACTTGTGATTTTGTTAACTAGTCGAGCTTGATACTTTCGACTCGACAGTACTAAAAGTGATAATACTCGTATGTATATTTATTAATTCAAGCTTAAATTTCAAGGCATGCAGAGACTGTTTTATGTTTAAGTGAGTCTTGAATTTAATTTTAGATCCCAAAATCTTAGTAAATGTTATCATACTTAGTCGATTGGTCCCAATCACAGACTCACAGTTCATGGGTTTCAGCAAAAAGCATCATTGCCAATTTCTTTTCACAAAATCAGCAATTTATGAAAAAGATATATCATTACAAAAATCAACTTATTTTTTGGTAATTTGTCATGTTCACTGGCAACCCTTTAATTATTTATGATTCAAGAGTATTACTACAAAAATTTCTGGTTTGCAGATTTTGGCACTAAAGATAAATAAGGAGCCAATGGAGTCAATTAATCTAAACAAAGAAACAGAAGGATCTTGCAGCAACAAAAGTGAAAATAGTTCTGATATAAGGCTAGACATTTCAAGAACTCCAGCAATTGATAGCCCTTTAATCACAAATCCAACTAGCAGAACCCTCTTCCCATCTTCATTGAGGCCTGCAGGAATGACCCAGTTCTTCCAGAGTTCACCGAGACCGGCCGAGATTTCGTGCCATAAAATGGACCAAACTGTTAAAGATGAAGGCTTATGCAATATGTTTTGCGGCATGGAGGATCAGACAGGAATTTGGCCATGGTTAGAGCAACAGCATTTCAATTAATGGGCTAATCAGTCTATTAATTGACCTTAAAATTGGTGGTTATTTCAATTTCTCTGCCTGTTTGGTACAAAGAGTTTGATTAATCCAATATATGGATTATCAGTTAATACCATGTTTTAATTTTATGAGTTAAGTTAATTCTTGTTTTGATACTTAGGCTGGTATACAAAGTAGCAATTTGATTGAGGAATAAAGAATTATGCATGGATAAGTCAATTTTTCCAAAAATTGTGTCAAATCTTCTAGTTAAATTTTGAATTAAGCTATTTGTGCTTGTTGGCTTACACTTTGGTTTACCCGATCCTACTCCTCCTCTCGCATGGGGTCGGGTCCCACATGGGGGCCACGACGTGGAGGTCTGACTCCATATGAAAGGAGAATGTGGGGTTAGGTAACCTAAAGTGTAAAATAACTTGTACAAATAGCATGACCCTTAAATTTTTAGATGAAAAAATCGGCTGTGCTACACGAGAAAGTTATCTTACTTTAGAACTATTAATTATCTGAAAGCAAATTTTCTCTGATAATTTAGAAAGTACTTATTTTTAGAGAAAGAGATAGAATCATGCACACATTCCAAGGGAGAAAGAGGACAAATAGATACAGAAAGAGTAGAAGAAAACAAGAAGGGTTGGAAATGGTCACTCTCGTGAAGGGGACATTTGGCAAAGCTTATGCTGACAATTGACAAGGAAAGGACTATAGTTGGTATGATATGATATGATGCTGATAGAAATATCAAAGAAAAATGCACGCAATTGTGGGCTCATCTTGAGTTTACTTCACTATTCTACAATGATCTTAAGAGTGTTTGATTGCTTTATGATCCCATCTCGATGAGAAATAATGCAATTTGACACTTTAGAGTGGACAAAAATTTTAAAGAAACACGATGCTTGAAGTTCTCAATTATCTCAAGGTCAAGAAGTAGATACTTAATATAGCCACAAGGCCCACCCGCCTGGCAGTAGATATTTTGCATGGCTTCTGATTAAAAATTAAAATAAAAATAAAAATTGTGGATTTCTTCACAATTTTGATCTTTCGTAAACATCAAGATTTGTTGATATTTTGTTCATCTTTGTATTTTTACGCTTCTTTGACATCATATCCACAGCTTGAGTTGAAATATGTTGTTCCAAACTTGTTGTTCACTGGTTTTGACACTTTAGTGGACCATGCCACCTTTGCAAATGAGAAAACATCAAAGTTTAATATACTTAAGCGTCAAAAAATATATTGGGGAAGACAATTAAGAGAACTAGAAGTTCGGATCAACATATCTGAACTAAACCCAACTTGTTTCTTGGTTAAATTCTCTCGTTATCCTTGAGCATGCAAATTCTCTTGTTTGATCTTATTACATTTCTCTACATCACCATAAATAAACATGTCATAGGGGACAAGTTATCTAATCTATTATCACACAAATTTCTCAAACAAAGTAATTTTCCTCCTGATTTTTTATTTCAATTTATTATATGTTAGAGAGATTTTAAAAATTGCCCGATTTTCGTACATTTCCATGTTTCGCTATTGTTTGGGGTCGGAGCAAGGATCATTTATGAAAGTATGAGGCATATTTCTCGTGAGAGTTCACATCAAGGATACTTTTCTTCAATAAAAGGATTAGTCTCGTTTAAATTAAAAAATTTAGCATCATTGTTGCATTTTTTAGATATCTAAAAATGATAGCCAAATGACAATGTCTTGACATGATAATATCTAAAAATGCAACAATATAAATACTGTAATTTAAATTAAATAATGATAGCCAAATAAAGGTATGGTGATCGAGCTTGGCACAATTTTTAGATATCTAAAAATGCAACAATATAGAAATTATCATTTTTAGATATCTAAAAAAGGCATTTTTAGATATTATCATTTTTAGATATCTAAAAATGCAACAATATAAATGTTGTAATTTAAACTAAAAAATGATAGCCAAATGAAGGCATGGTGATCGAGCTTGGCACAATTTTTAGATATCTAAAAATGCAACAATATAAATGTTGTAATTTAAACTAAAAAATGATAGCCAAATGAAGGCATGGTGATCGAGCTTGGCACAATTTTAGGTGAGTCATAGCCCATGTTTGGGTTTGCTAAAAATTGGATTTTTAATAAATTTCGATAAAAATTGATGAATTATGTAATTAGATGAATACCATGAAATGTATAATTAAGATCAGTTTTTGTCCTTGACTCAATATTTTATTGTTATGAAAACAGAAAAAAGAGAAGAGAATATAAGAGTTAAAACTCAAGTGTGTATTTTATTGAAAACTAAGGCCCCCATATTTATATGATTCAAAATAAGAGTTACAATTGGAATAAAATAGATTTTCTATATTAGATAAAATTCATATACTTATCATGATAATACTAAATAATCATCAGTAATTATCTCATAGGGTAATTGGCACAAAACGTCTATATCTTTTAATGTTATTATGCAAAACGTCCATGCCTTTTATTTATTTATTTATTTTTGCATTTTCACTCCTATCTTCTATCTTTCATTGCACAAAAGTTCATTTTCATCCATTTTTTCAATAAAATGATGGTTTTACCCTCCTATTCAAATAAAATAAAAATAAAAGAAAACAAAAAATAAATAACTCATTGCAACCATAGTACTAAATTTTTCATAACATTACTGCTTTGTTCTAAATTTTTCATCACCACCACTTTCACAACCCTACCAAGCTGCCACTTATTGATCGTACCACCTTTTGGCCACCACGCCCATCAGACTCCACCACCACCAACCTCGCCGTACTCTCCCCTAACTCAAACCCACTTGAATTTGTTGAAAAATCGAGCCAAAACAGCTAGCTCAAATTCTCAAAAACAATCGAAATCTCCAATTTTGACAATACCCATGCCATGCCCAACATTCCAGTTTATTACAAGGCGCCGCTTTCCATAGTCAGAATCAAAACCAGCAAGCTGCGTCTTGGAACATAGTGACTACGTGACTTTCATACGAATTTTTCGACAACGAAAGCATCTACTCTTCATGATGTGTCCAATGAACATATGGTTCATCTCCAATTTGCCTTGGAAATGGCAGTTCATGGCTTAAGAACAATTGGCCCGCACGAAGGAGGTTTTATTCTATCAGTTCATGGCTGAAATGTGATTCAATAGACAAATCACCAATGGAGAAATGAAATTCAAGTCAAAAAGCATTGGGTAATTGCTCAATTGCAAAAATTACAGTACTTGTTTACCAAAATTTGGAGTCAAATGATATTCATCACAAACCGATAACTGCTGATCCAATTCCTTAACTTCTAGGCATAATTGATGCAAATTGATACCACCATTACAGCCCTAGTGGCGTGCAGTCCGACAGGCATGGTGGACGAAAGGTGGTACTATGTGATTCAATAGATGACGGCTTGGTAGGGCTTCTGAAAGTGGTGGTGGTGGTGGTGGTAGAGAATTTAGGACTAAGCAGTAATGTTTTGAAAAATTTAGTACTATGATTGCAATTAGTTATCTATTTTTTGTTTTCTTTTATTTTTGCTTTATTTGAATATGAAGGTAAAATTGCCATTTTATTGAAAAAATGGAAGAAAATGACCTTTTGCGCAATGAAAGGTGGAAGTTAGAGGTGAAAATATCAAAAAATAAAATATATGGACGTTTTGCACAAATATGTCAATATTCTTTTAGAATATTGAAAATTATAATTCATATTATTCAAGAGTAAGTAATATTCTTTTGGAATATTAATTATAATATAGCGCTATTTCAAGAAGAACAATATGATATATTATAAATTTAAAGTTTATATAAGAACATCTAAAAATATTTAGTCAAGTCAAAAATATTAATTACCATATAAACATATATGACTTTATATATGAAAATTAATTTCCAAAAATACATTTTGGAAAAAATCTTCAAGATATATGTAGGACTATGGGGAAAAAAAAAACAATTATCAAAGCCGATGCATGTATTATGAAATGGAGTTGCGAAGGAATAGAATTGGGTCATTTTCAACATCAAGTAAACTATCTAATTGATTAACTAAAATTGCGTGGCATGGATCACCATTCTCAAAGTGAAAAATGGGATTAACGTTACCATAATTCATTACAGTATACTTTACCAAAATTAATTAATTGGTTTATGCACATGATCACGTCACACATACCAAAAATATTATTACCTTTCATGAATTCGTTTGTGATACGAAGATGAATTAAAGTTGGAATTTCTTTCGAAACATAGAAGAAGTAATGCTGCATTTTCTTTTCTTCCAAGGGAACACTAAGAGGGGTGTATTCAATTAAGATTTTTAAAGACTTTATAGACTTTATAAGTAGGTGACTTTTGTGAATTTTATAGACTTTTAAGTGAATTCTATGAATTTGTTAAGAATTAATAAAAGTCTTCTATGGACTTATGTAGACTTTGAATAAAGATTTTTAAAGATTTTTCATTTTACAAATTCATTATTACCTAAAAAATTACAATATTTTCTTACTACATAATCACCATTTTCGAAAATCATGATGTCCTAAATTTTTTTTTAGGTAAAGTCAATAATCACAACCCAGTCATTCAATTTTGAGTAAATAAAATAATAAAAAACTTTTACATCAATTTCTAAGAACATAACCATTTTTTTATGAAATTAATATAATTTCTAAGAACTAAAATTGTTCTTAACAAAAAAAAAAAAAAAAAAGATCAATTACATTGAATTCTACGTTTTGAAACAATTGCATATAATTTCAATTCAAAAGTAATTATATACATATAGAATAATTATAAATTGTTTACAACAAATGGATTTAAGATATATAAGAAATTCCTAGAATTGAAAGGAAAAAGTTGTTCTTATTTTTTGGGCTCTGAAATCTTCACAAATCTCATAGAATACAAGAGATTTCCTTTGAGATTTACTATTTATATTTTTCATAAAAAAAGGTTTCTATAAGTCCAGTAAGTAGAAAATTCTCCAAAATTCCCTGCTTATTTGAATACATCATGACTTATAGAGACTTATAAAAAGTTTCAATTGAATACTTCGTAATTTTTGGAGATTTTTTAAAAGCTTATAGAAATTTTGATTTAATATACCTAAACTTTTATAGAGCAGTCTTTAAATGTCTCAATTGAATACAATTAAACTTTTTAAATCCTCAAAAGTTTTTAAAAATCTCAAATGAATACATCCTAGAAGCTTTGAA